CCCCAAGAAGTCAAAAGCCAAATGACAATCATTTACATGATAAGTGAATATAAACCACAACTCACAACTACAAACATGTTGGTGTCATGTGAAGGCTGTGTGCAGGCAGGATAGGAGGAATGATGGACCCAAAAGTTCAGACTTTAAAAAGAAAGATTTATTACTAAATGACAAAAACAGAAAATTGGCTAAACTGGGAATACAGAAACTAAACTGGCAGGCAGACGGACGGAACACACAGCATGGGATAATTGAGAAGACACAGGGCTTGAATACACAGAGGGGGCAATCAGGGAATGGAAGACAGGAGGGAGAGACACAGCTGGGACAAAACCAGACACATTAACATAAGACACGGACCTTCAAAGTAAAACAGGAAACCCTGACTGAACTTACAGACACAGACTACCAAGCTGACACTGCAACAGAGGGAACACATAGATGTGGGCAGACACAGACTGGACACAGAACAGAGGGAGTCTGGAACCAAAACTTAAGACTATAAAATCACAAACCAAGATGAACTGGAGGAATAGAAATGTAAAACAGAAACCAAAACCCTCACAGTCGTAAACCAAGATGAGAACACAAAATGAAGGTACAATACTGAAAACACTGTTAGGTACCCCAACAGTGTTATAAAATATAATAATGGAATATATAAAAAATTGTAAACTTGACATTTTTCTGTCCTTTCATGTGTTTCAGGTTCTCTGATGGGTGATCCAGTGGTGATGGTGAGTCTGTACCCTGAGTTCACCCAGTCTGTGATGTCTTCAATGGCTTCATGTGGAGAGTTTGTGTTCTTGGTGGATCGATCTGGAAGTATGGACTGTGCTACGAATAACACTGAGCAGCAGGAATCTCGGATCAGCAGTGCCAGGGTATTTATGATGTGGTGTTAGAGTTATAAAACCTTTCCTCTCACACAGTGGCCTCACCATCTTCTCCCTCTTCCCTGAAGGATACTCTGCTGCTCCTGTTGAAGAGCTTACCAATGGGCTGCTATTTCAACATTTACAGTTTTGGGTCCAGATATGAACACATCTTTTCGTGAGTGATTCAGTCCATAAAACTGTGCTTCAGTCAATGATGTCACTTGTGTGTAAAGTGTGTAATAAGATATCTGCTCTAGTTACACCAGATAATGCGTTTCTAGAATACTTACAGCTCATTTAGGTAAGCTGCTGTTATGTTATGGTTCGAAAAGACAGTTTTGAAAGTGTATGAGTGAAACTCATTAAATTACAATGTAGAATTTAGCAGTGCTAAACAGCCATCAATCACTTATTGTCAAGGTTTGCTGTGTGGCAGGTAGTGGTTGGACCCAAACGCAGGACTCTAAGATGGAGTATTTAACTTGAAGGCAGCAGCTTTTATTCGCTGGCAAAAGCAAACTGAGAAACACAATATATGAGCACTAGAAATAAAACAAAAACTCAAACTAGGAAGAATAACCTAAACTGGGAGTGCACGACATAACAAACATGACACGCAGCTAATGCGGAGGAAACGACAACTAACAGAGAAAAATACAGGGCTTATATACACCAGGGAGTAACGAGGGAACGGGAAAACAGGAGGGAAGCACAGCTGGGGCTAATCCGACATAACAAGGCACAGGAAGCAAAGCAGGATACACTCACATGGAGCATGGAGACAAGGTGATTAGACATGCGACTGGGGACTAGGACAGGCACAGAGAAAACATGGGGGCAGAGACTAAACACAGACCGAGAAACATACAAAGGGAGGAAGAACTAAGATCACTAAGCACAAATGAAAGATAACCGAAACCAGGAATAAAAATCAAAGAATATTAAACCAAGAACTGAAACACAAACACTGGGTCAGAGAGCCAGTACTGTGACACTTATGTGTATCTCATGGCAGTAAGAGTATGGAGTACAGCCAGAAGACCATGGAGGAGGCTCTGAAGAAAGTTGAGGAGATGGAGGCTGATCTTGGAGGAACAGAGATCCTGGAGCCCCTCAAACATATTTACAGCCAACCCTGCATTCAAAATCAGCCCAGACAGGTAACACACACACACACACACACACACACACACACACACACACACACACACACACACACACACACACACACACACACAGTGTGTGAGTTTATATTAATTAACTGATAGGTAAATTAAATAACACTGATTATGTATTCACCATGATATCTGCAGCCATTGTTGGGTGTTCCTGGTCTGCCACAAAGAAAATATGGGTGAAATATGGTCTCCAAATTTGACAGATCTCAATCCAATTGAGCATTTGTGGGACAAACAAGTCCGATCCACAGAGGCACGACCTTCCAACTTACAAGACTTAAAGGATCTTAAAGATATCGCGTCACCTTCATGGATCTAGTGGACTCAATGCCTTGATTGGTCAGGGCTATTTTGGTAGCAAAAGAGGGACCAGCACAACATTAGGCACGTGGTCATAATGTCATGTCTGACTGGTGTACATGTGTTACTTTTAGCTTGTGTAATTTGACCTTGCATGTAAACTCTCCTCTCTAGCTGTTTGTCTTTACTGATGGAGAGGTGGGGAACACCAAACAAGTGATCGATCTGGTGAAGAAGAACTCAGGCTCCCACAGGTGAAACAGCAAAAATGATAATGACATGTGCTGCGTACCAAACCTGTGTGTCTTAAAAACAGCTGTTGTGTTGCAGGTGTTTCTCTTTTGGGATTGGGGAAGGGGCCAGCTCTGCTCTCATTAATGGGATGGCCAAGGAAGGAGGAGGTCATGCTCAGTTTATCACAGGGACTGACAGGATGCAACCTAAAGTAAGACAATAAGTCATAATAACAATTATTAAAAGGCAATATGTTGCTATTAGAGATGGACCAATCCAATATTACGTATCGGTATCTGTCCGATACTGACCTAAATTACAGGATCGGATATCGGAGAGAAATAAAAAATGTAATCCGATCCGAAGTATCAGAAAATCACCTCATAAAACGTGCTACTTGGTGTAACCCAGCTCGGCGCATCGGAGCAGTATGTGTCACGTGATAGAGCGGCTGTTGTCTGCGAGACCTGTCGGCGGTCTGTTGGAGCCTCGCTACATGCTTCCTAACGTCGGCATTTCATCTCGGCGAAAACTATCCCAGAGAAGTAAAGCAAGTGTGTAAGTTCATCCCTGAATGTTCGCATAGTATTTTCATGTTAAACTTAGCAACTGATATATTGAGCCACAGCTGGACTGGTTCCATATTGAGGTGAAAAGGAAGCGATTTGTCCCGTACTTCAGCTAGAATTAAAAAATAGACACAAAGCTGGAGTTATTCTGTCTTTGCTGCGCAGTTGCATCCACTTCTCTCATTCACTCCCCCTCCCTCTCCTGTTATTACTTCAAACATGAAACTGATCAATGATCAGCTGATCAGCTTTTCTACCGCAAGTCCTGTCTTTCTTGTTTGTTTATTGCCCACTTTGCGTTAGAAAGAGGAGACCAGCGGATAAACAAGAGCAGCTCGTTTCAGCTTGATCAGCTGTTGTTAGAATGTATTTATTATTACTTTCTAGTATCAGCTGACGTTTGCTGGAGCCACAGCTGTAAAAGCTGCTGGTCATGATATCGGTTTGTATATCTGGTGAGAGGGAAACATGAAGATGAAACCAGGAGATGTCCTTACTGAATCATCAGAGCTGAACAGGTGATGGAGAAACAGGTTTACCTTTTAGGTGACATGAATGAGTTGAAGGGAAGGGGGGCACAAAGACATATTTTTCTTTGTTATGTCATTTAAAAACTTTGAATGAATAATTATCTGAATCTTACAACAAAAGTGGTCATCTGAATAAATGTATAGAAATCCATCATTGTATATAGTAACTATTAAGTCTAATATACACCCTGGTAAGCTATACTACTTTTTCCTTTGGGAAGGTACTATCTGTGCAGTCTGCAATTCTGTTGAAGAAAGATGTTGAATCTATTTAATTATTGTAGAAAAATAATTGATTTCTGTGCATTTGTTTTACACATACATTAAATTAAAGTTGATTACATCGATTAAGGGCAGGGGGTGGTTCCCTAATATCTTTTGCTGGGAGTTGGCAACCCTATTAGTTAGGTAGGTAAGTACTCTTTAAAATACCAGAATAGGAAGGATGGAGTAGGTTTAAGTTTATTAGCTTGATCAGTGTTGCTGAACTATAAAATGTTTCGGTGGAGTGTATTTTTGCATACAGGTATAACAGAATAGCTTCAGTCTCTTGTTTTTTAAAACTTGAGTATGAACTTATACAAAATGCAGCAAGATATTTAAAGATATTTAAAAAAAAAACTGTTTTATTGATTACAAAATACGCTATATCGGATTCATATCAGTATCGGCAGATATCCAAATTTATGATATTGGAATCGGTATCGGACATTAAAAAGTGGTATCGTGCCATCTCTAGATGTTATTATTTGGACAGAAGACATAATTTCAAATAAACATAAATGCATAATTGTTTTCTAATTCTTGTTGTTGTCAGGTGATGCAGTCGCTGCGATTTGCTCTGCAGCCAGCTGTGGTCGACATCTCAGTCACATGGGATTTACCAAAGGAAGTGTCTGTCACTGTCCTCTCTCCATCGATCACAACACTTTTCCAGGGTCAGAGGTCACTGATTTATGCCCAGCTCACTGGACAGGTAGGAGCAGCAGCCTCTCATGTTGTTTTGATGACAGTAATTATCGTGACTTCTAACACTGTAATTCTGTGTCAGAGCTCAGAGGCAGCAGAGGGCTGTGTGACGCTGAAGTACAGCCTGGCAGGTCATCCCTCTGAGAACCAGCTGCACTTCAGTCTCAGACCTGCAGAGGACACTGGGTACAACATGTTTAATGTAGAGCACAGTGCTCTGTGGGTCATGACCATGAATTGAAACTAAATGCAGCTGGGATGTGTGGTTGGTAGGATGGAGAGGTGGAGCAGAATGGTTTCAGGTGCTGTGCCACTTGTGAAGAGCAGCACAGCTCTCTCTCCTCATGTAGTTGGTGCATGGCTGAAGGCGAGAGTTCAGGGTGTCACAAACTACTGGTTTTCTGATTGTCATGAGCTAAAATCATCAAAGCTAAAGCAAAAAAGACTTGAAATATTTACTCTGAACTTTTTCAAGATATCTTTATGGTTATAGATGTTCTAGCATATGCTCCAATGGAACCACTGTTTTGGGGGGAGATTTTAGTAAATGCCCTTTGACTGAGTGAATAACTTCCAGTATCCAACAAGATGAGAACAAATGTAAACATACGGCACTATCAGAGGAGCTAATCGTGGTTTTTTTTGTCAGATCACTCTATGATTCACTTGGTCCCCACTTGTCCATACAGAAAGATAACCTGAGTTGTTCCAGTCTGGACTAAACTGCAACTGAGGGACTGCTTTGACTGCATCAGATGCTGCCTTTTTACATGTTCCTCACTGTGTGACCCCAAAGAGGACACAGTGGTGTTAAAAACAGTAAAATGACTGGTAAACTAATATACTATAATAACACAGTATTAACAATGACAAGCATTCTGTGTGTTTTCCTTCTTGTCTGCAGACTAACAGTCCACAGGTTGGGTGCTCAGACTCTGATTCGTTCCCTGGAGATGGAGGAGAGAGAGCACAGAGGACAGCAAGGTGGAGGAGTGAAGGAGAAGGTGGTGCAGCTCAGTGTCCAATCAGGAGTGAGCAGTTCTTTCACTGCCTTCGTTGCTGTCAACAAAGACAACGGAGAGGCGATCCAAGGACCTCTTGTCCAAAGAAATATTCCAACAGCCCGTGAGTTTTTTTTCATCGTCAGGGATTCTAACTAGGGATGCACCGATACCACTTTTTTGGAAACGAGTACGAGTACTTGCATTTCAGTACTCGCCGATACCGAGTACTTAATAAAAACATGATTTAAATTTGCAGGTAACAGCTTTAGTCCTATAATTTACCAAAAAACAAACAAACAATGGACTAGTTTGGAATTAAGAACATTTATTTAAAATGAAAAGCATGTTGTATGCAACATATTACAGAATAAATAATTATAAAAAAACAAAATTTAATTTAAAATTTGTTCGTCTGTTTCTCTGTTTAGAAGTCTCACTAGCACAGTCACAGCTGGGATGACATCAGAGGCTAGTGCATCATAGCTGCTCACTTTTTTTGTTAGCTCCTCAAAGGGGGCGAGGATGGCAACAGTCGTCTCCATAAGAGCCCATTGGTGAGCAGTGAGATAGTCAGGGAGTTCGTGCACTCGCTTTTGCTCAATGAGGGACTGGAGCATGTAATGCGTGCTGTTCCAGCGCGTCTGTACATCCTGCTACAGTCTCTTTATTGGCTGGTTGAGCTGTCCCTGAATGTCCTCGAGGCGGGAGTAGGCTAAGGCGGAATGTTTAAAATGCCCAACTATTTTCCGTCCCACTGCTATAGCATCAGCTATGCTCCTCTGTGCTAATAAGTGGGGTAAATAAGCGTGGGTAAACTCTTTGTACTCGTTGTGTTGGGATTTTAGCTGCTTGATTAAATTGCTTGTGTTAAATGCGGTACCTTTAGAGCAGGGGTGTCAAACTCAAATACACAGTGGGCCAAAATTCAAAACTGGAACAAAGTCGCGGGCTAACGTTAATATTTATTGAAATATATTTATTGAAATATATTTATTCCTCCAGATATAAGAATGAATCTTTTCTTATGGCCTCAAACACGTTTTGCTGAAAAACTGAATATGGAACAAGCAAAGTTTAATACTAAACAATATATATATTAGCTGTATAATACCAGTAGGCCAGCTCTGATAGTAATTTGGTATGGCTTCGCGGGCCAAATGTAATTAGGCTGCGGGCCAGAGTTTGACATCTATGCTTTAGAGCCTCCTCTGGACAATTTTGCTGAGCACAATTTGTAGTCCGCCTTTGTTTTCGTGTCTTCGTTCACTTTGAAATAGTTCCACACAGCTGATATGTCTCGCCTCGCTTTCTCCCCCGCTCTGAGTTGCAGCTGGGGCCTGGGGGCGGGCACTCGGGTCCTCGGTATCGGGGGACTTTTAACGAGTATGAGTACTTTAGAAAATGTGGTATCGATGCCGATACCCGATATCGGTATCGGTGCATCCCTAATTCTAACAGCTAGCCCTTTTACTGAATCAGAATAACAATGAGAAACCCCGTCCAGTTTATTTTTTTAAAAAGCAAAACTAAAACTGTCACCAACATCTGAAGCTAAAAATAGCTGAGCATCAACGAAAGGAATACTATTATGATGCTATGAGGAGAATATGAGAGTTAGTCCAAGGAACACCAAAGCGCAACTTATTGGTGAACAACTTAATGAAGCAGTAGATGCCTATGGGCTACTGTGTTCTCCACAGAGCATTAGAAAGTAAAAAGCTGAATGGAAGTACAACACACATCTGCCTGTCTATGATATCGCGTCTTTTTTCATCCTATATAGTGGCAATGGATTGCTTTATATCATCAGCAGCATATAGAACATGTAAGTACAAACCTGAATGAATGGCAGTGGAAACTATTTTTTACCGTGGAGGCATGCTTGTGTCTCTGAGATTTAATAGATTTATATTGTACATATAGGTGAGTGTGAATGACATCACCACAATGGTAATGTAAAGTGCAGAGACACAAAAGGGCAGTGTGTTTTATAAAAATCAGCAATCTTTTTTTAAATTAGGTTTTTATTATTTTGAATTTTATTAAAAAGATCTTGATGCATGCTTAGTCATCCAGATAAAGAAATCCCAGAAAGCACATTGACCTCATACTGCAGGTGATACCCAGCAGAAGCTACGCAAAGTCTGTAGGGTTCAAAGAAGACACATAAACATGGTGTACCTTTTAAGACCTATCTGTATGATCAAGTCAGCCTCATAGTTTCTGGCGTTGGTCTTCAACAAATTGTTAGTCAGCCCTAAACACCACAGCCACACCACATCCAGAACTCCTTGGATTTTGTTTAAGGTGAAAGATGTCATTATGGATTCGCATACAAGGGTCAGTACTACAGGAAGAAACATGGGTTCCCCACCTGGCTGAAAATCAAATCTTAGGGCAGCTAGCCTTAGACTGAGATTTCCATCTGTAAAGACTGGGATCATCACCACCTGTCCCTCCAGTCTTCCTGGCACCGCCGCCTTGAGCTCACTGCCCCACCCCTCCCCTGCAGCTGCAGCTGAGCCACAGGCCACACCTCTGCCACACCATCAGTAATGGGGGACTTTTAAAAATGGATGTGTACCATAACCCATCGTCTATGGATCAGTATTTATTTAGGCAGATGAAGAAGAGAGTGCTGACAAATGATGACAAAAAAGTGCCAGGATTATTCTACATAGTTAAAGATCTCAAAATTAATATCAGAATCAGAAAGGGTTTTATTGCCAAATGTTGAGCAGGTTTACAACATTAGGCAATTGCTGCGGTGCTTCAGTTCAAACATACTGTCATAAATTACGCTTAATTCTTCTAATATTATAGGTGGAAAAGTATAAACAGACATGCATGGTGAACAACATTAATTCTGTTTCTGCCCACCATCTTGGATGTGTTAAAGGGTTCATTCACAAAGTTCAGGTTAACAATGAAGTAAAACTGAGGCATCTGCTACTCAGCACATGCAAAGAGGTGTCAGCCGAACTGAAACATCTGCTCCAAGCAGGCATTATTGTACCAGTGGACACACCTGAATGGCTGAGTCCTCTAGTGGTGGCAAGAAAACATGAGGATGACTTGAGACTTTGCGTGGATCTGGGGGAACCTAATAAAAGCGTAATAATGGACCCATTAAAGAAGAACACAATGAATGTTTGCATGCTTTTCTCAGGCCTCTGAAGGATGTTGGTCCGCAGATCTATTCCAGTAAAAGTTCATTCGGGCAGACGCATATTCCATTCCTGGGACGTCATTTCAAAGAAGGGCTTGTGTCCTCACCCAGTCCACCTGACTGCCATCTCTGAAGCTCCTGCACCAAAGGACATGGCTGCACTTTGCTCCTTCCTAGGTCGTGGTTTAGCAAATTTTTGCCGAACAGCACAAGAGTAGTTGATCCACTTGAGAGCTTATTTGAACAAACTAGAATGAACCAATGCAGCATATGAAAGCTTCATTAAGCTGAAAGCAATGCTCCTCTTGGACCTCTTGTACAGAGAAATCTTCCAACACCCTGTGAGGTTTTTTGTTTTTAAGCAAACACTAAAAGTGTCACCCACAGCTCTGAAGATAAAGATCGCTGATCATAAATAAAAGGAATATTATCATGATTAGGACAACATCGGAGATGGTTCAAAGCAGAAATGAGCTTCCTCCGAAGGGTGGCTGGCCTCTCCCTTAGAGATAGGGTGAGAAGTTCGGCCATCCGGGAGGGGCTCAGAGTAGAGCAGCTGCTGCTCCACATCGAAAGGAGCCAGCTGAGGTGGTTCGGGCATCTGACAAGGATGCCCCCTGGGCGCCTCCTGGGTGAGGTGTTCCAGGCATGTCCCACCGGGAGGAGGCCCCGGGGCAGACCCAGGACACGCTGGAGAGATTATATCTCTCGGCTGGCCTGGGAACGCCTTGGTATTCCCCTGGATAAGCTGGAGGAGGTGGCTGGGGAGAGGGAGGTCTGGGCCTCTTTGCTTAGGCTGCTGCCCCCGCGACCCGGCCCCGGACAAAGCGGATGAAGATGGATGGATGGATGGTTCAAAGCACATTTCTAATGCATATGTCAGTAGCATTAGAAAGTTAAAAAGATCAATGGTAGTACAAGATACATCTATGCATGTCTATAGTGCAGAGCTGCACTGGAAAAGTCTGTTGCCAGGGCAACGCTATAAATACTAACCTGTCCTGAACTCATACTTTATCTCCTTTTTTCATCTTACAGCTTCATTAGTTTGCTATTCAGAATCCTATGTTACATATAAACTGTGTGTGTGCATGGAGGTGTGATTGTGTCCCTGAGATTTAACACATTTAAACATCTACCTGAGTGTGAGTGAAATCAGCACAATGAAAATGCTAAGAGCCAAAAAGCAGAAGAGTGTACTGTGTTATACTATTACAGTCAGCAGGTTTTTGTTTTATTTTGCATATAAATTTTTTGATATAGTGAAGAGCAGAATATACTAGAGTCAGCTCAATGGATCCTAAAGTATGACTCCTTAAAAGGGACGGCAGTTAAACAAAACGTGAGATTTACTACTAAACACATGATTCAAGGAATCAAAATAAACTGAGGGAAAAAAAACTAAATACTGTTGAACAATAGAACTAGGTAATCTGACAAATCTGACCCCAAAAAAGTGTAATGAGCAAGTGGTGTAAATACTGCAGTGACCAATTAGAGATGAGAGAACTGTGAAAGGGATAAAGTCTTGAAATGACACGGACTGAAAAGAGGAAGCTCTAAAACCCAATTGTAATATTTGCCTTTGTGTTATATCACCAAAATAACATCAACTTAGTGCTGTTATACTTCAAATACCAGAAAAATCTGACTCTTTCTTTTTTTTTTTTTTTTGGCTTGACTTCATTGTAGGCAAAATGAAGAAGAGTGCTCCATTGCCCATAAGTAAGTAAAATTTGAATGACAAATCAACACACACACATACACAGCTATGCAAATGAAGGCACAGAAAGAAAATATTTCTGTTTTAACTTGAAGTTTTATATATTAAATATTGTATGTAGTGTAGCTGCAGTACTTGCCTTGGTAGACAGGATGTATGCTACATCAGTAAATGAAGAAAATCAGGTTCGTACAACATTTTGCAACATTTATAATTTAATTGAACATATTTACATCTTACATTTCTGTTATGAGTTTTGAGGCACAACATAATATCAGAATCCAGTATTTTAGATTATTTATTGTATACTACGAGTGTGCAACAAAAAGTGGGAGTAGAAGAAAAATTTGCATTATGTGTCAAAACTTTGATTACACTTATTCATAGAAGGATTTGACTGTGTTTACTACTTCCTACATTTACAACATTCAGGACTTCAGAGCTATAAAATAACACAAATAAGATTATGATATGTCAAAAGTCCAAATAACTGAAATTGTGTTTTACATTTTATGTAAACTATTTAGCTTTTATTAGTTGGGAACATTATCTCCACTTGCCTTCTTAATGTATTTGGGAATATAATTTCTGAATGAGTTACAGGTCCTCGCAGGATGTAAAAACTAGACTGCTAAGATAAACCTAAAATACTGTTTGTAATATTTGTTGTATTTATATATCACCACAGTAATATTAAAAATCTGTACTTTTGTTGTTATTTTAGCAAATTCTTGTTAAATGTTTTAACCCTAATTTATTTTTTTTAACTCTTGACTTCACAGTTGGTACCTTCCAGAAGTTTAGTCGGTGGGGTAAGTATAAGTAAAAGCTGGATGGCAGAACAGCACATATGTTTAAAAATAAATGTAAACAAACCAACACATTTCTCTTTGAATTTTATTTGAAATGTTGAAAGTAAAATGCTTCGTCTGTGTTTCTTCGTTTGCCATTATTAACATATTAACAGAGAGTATCTTAAAGTGGTGGGGCGTGGTCTGCGGTGCCGTGCAGGGAGGGCGGACGCACCTGCACGGCATCCTTAATCACACCCGCCTAGTTAAAAACACGGGGACTCAGGGGTTGGTGTGTGTTGTGGTGTGACAAATATTGAATAAAATGGCTCAAACCTATGATCCCTGGACCCGCCATGTCTCATTCACACCACATGTGACTGAAGAAGGTTGAACTTTTACAACATTTTGATATATTCAGAATATTATTGAGCACCTGTGGGTGGGCGTCCGGGTACACACCGGCTCACTCCTTGGCGGCCGCTTATTGGGGCTCGCT